GTCGTGCTGGGGCGTGGTCGTGCTGGGGCGTGGTCGTGCTGGGGTGTGGTCGTGCTGGGATGTGGTCGTGCTGAAGTGGCCCGCACCCTGTGATTTATCGATCGGAATTTCAAAAACAAGCGTTTCGCCTGAGACATCCTCAAATGTTGATCCGCCGGCCTCATTCGACCTCGATATTTATGGGGGAAAGAATCCGCCGGCCTCGTTCAAGTTGGGCACGGGGGGATATGTTTACATAGGATAAGAGAACCCTGGGCCTATGCCCTTTCCGGGAAGAAAAAAAATGGAAACCATCGCGCGCTCTGTGTTATGTCTTGTCGCCTTTTCGTTTTCCATGGGCTCTTGAGGCCCCGAGATGGCCGCGCTGGCCTGAGATGGCCCTCCAGAAGAACCCGACAGGCCCCAAGACGGCGCCGAGAGCGCTCAAGAGCAGCCGAAGAACGTCCCAAGAGAGCGCCAAGAGGCGACGTGGGCGGCTCCAGAGAGGGGACGCTGCAAGGACCCCCCCCCGTACTCTTTGACTGACGGCGTTTCCAAGATGGCTCCGAGAGGGCCCCCAAGGCCTCCAAGACGGGCCCACGAGACCCCGAAGAGGATCCCAAGGAGGCCCGAAACAGCCTCAAGAGGACCCCGTAGGCTCTCCCAAAATGGCCCCAAATTAGCTCCACAATGGCCCACAAATCACCCCAAGGGGCTTCTAACAAGAGCCGCGTGCGAAAAACAAACAAAATCCTCCATGATTGATTCTGGCCGTCGTCGTGACTTTTTCCCTCCCATCCTTCCTTTTCCTACTCCTCGTCCTCAGCCCGCCCCTCCTCCGTTTCCTCGTCATCCTCCTCCTTGTCCTCCTTCCCCGCTGCTGTTAATCCTCCGGTTCCTCCTGCGCCGTCCTCACGTTTCTAACGTAAACAGCGTCGCCCTCTTGGTTGAGCACCATGCTGGCACACGTTTCTGATCAACGCAGTTTGCCTGGGCACCGTCTCTGGAACTGCTTCGTCCTGAGTGTTATTACCCCCGTGTCCTCCTACCTCCCCCATGCCCTTCCCACCTCCCCATCTGGCACATTCCTACATCCTCGTTTACGAAAGGATGCGGCGCACTGGTGTTCTGCGCGGATCACCAATGCGGCTGCTACCTCCCCCTGGCCCCCCGTAACCCTCCCCCCCCCCTCAGGTCCCTCATCATCCTTCCGACCTTTGCATGCTCTAGCATGTTGCTGTTTCCTCCAGCACGCGTCCATCCTTTTGCTGTTCCTCTTCTTTCGTTACTACTGGTCCTTCGCCACCATATTTGTTCCCCCGCTTCCTCCACCTCCTCTTCCTCCCCCCGGACAGAACCAGTGAAAACGCATTCGGTTCGCTGCGGCGCCGCATGCTGCTACGCATGCTGATCGAGGCAACTCGCCTGGTGATTGCTTTTGCCTTTGCTGGCGGAAATACGCGAGGCGTCGGAAATGAAGGCAAAAAGGCGGATGAACAGTAGAATCTCGCGGACCACGGCCGAAACGCGTCAGAACATATGTGAGGAGACAGGTATGTAAGTTGTTTTGGACCCCTACTAAGCCTGTCTTGGGACCCTAGGGCCTGCTTGCAATCCTTCTCGGGACCTGCTGGACTCTCCTCGAGCTCGCTTGCAGCTTTCCCGGCGCCCTGTTGGATCCTGCCGCAGGCCCTGACAAAAGAAGATGACAGCGGGAGGGAAATGAAGAGAAAAACAATGCAGGCAAGAGGAATAAGATAAATGAATACGAGGAGGAAGAATCAAGGGCACGGAAGACATGCGAAATTCGCTGGCCACGCGGCATTCGCACGAACGCCCGAGCCACATGATCGATTGACGTGCGCATATCAGAAAAAAGGAAAATAAAAATGAAAAACGAAGACGCAAATCCACGCTGAATTCACTCTTAGCACCGGCGAAACCAATGACCCTGGCCGGGTGCGCCCTCTGGTGAGGCGGAGCGTTGCCTGCCGCCCCTGCCGCGCGCTCCCTGATCGGACCGAGGGCGGAAGCATCGCTGCGTCTTTGTCCGATCCCTGACCCGGGAAGCCTCGCCCGCGGAGGCGTCAGCAAGGACAGGACGCCCACGGCTCGGCGGGGAGCCGTTCCCTCTTCCGCCGTGCTTCCTCCTCCGGCGGCTCTCCAGGGAGGGAGAGCGACGCCTGCCGCTCCTCGCTCTCTCCTGCAAGCGGCTCCTGCTCCTGGTGCCTCCTCCTTGCCTCCAGTGTGTGGGGGGGCGTTGCACCGACTCCGCGGCGCCGGATGATCCCGGGGCGGCGCCTGCATCGGCGGGCGCCGAGGCATCGCCCGCGCAGCCGAAAATCTGCCGAAGGCGGGTGCCCAACTGACGCACCGACGCGCCGCCGCCCTCGTCGAGCAGTTCTGTCTTCCGCATCTTCCCCAGCGGGTCCGCTGGCCGTTCGCTCGACTCTGGACGGCCGCGCTCGCCTGCCTGGGGAGATAGTCAACGGGGCGGCGACCACCCGTCAGGCTTCTGGCGGCACTCGATGGATCTGTGCTTTGGGGACCTGCACCACTCGCAGGCGTGCACCCTGCCGTTGGCGCACACCTCGCTGCACCCATTGGCGTTGTGGTTCCACGCCCAGCAAAGCGGCTTGCCTCTCTCGTCCCCACGCCACCTGCCGTCCGGATGCTTCGCGTTGCCTTTGCCGCCGCCCGCGGCGCCACGGCCCCCGCCGCGTCCTCCGCTGCGACCGCGGCCGCTGCCTCCAAACTGGCTGGAGTCCGAGGCTGCGCGGTCCTGGCTCCCCCAGGCGCGCTTCGCACCGCGCTTGCCGCCGCCGTTGCCGCCTGTGCCGCCGCCTCCACCTCCTCCCGAGCCTCCGCCTGGGCCTCCGCTGGGGCCTCCGCCAGGGCCGGGATGCCCAGTGCCGTCGTCGATGAGCTGCTGCCTGGTCCTGAGGTGGGTGACCCAGAGCGTCGCCTTGCGCCCCAGCTCCTCATCCCAGAAATCGGAGTCGGCAGCGGCGGCCTTGAAGCAGTAGTCCCACGGCATCTTCGGGTCGAAGGCGTGCGGCGCCCCCGAAACCTGCGCAGCCGCGTACTCTTCCTCGGCGCGCCTCCTGATGCGCTCCATGCGCTCGGATCGCATCCGCTGATCCGCCAGCGCGACCAACCACCAACAGACCTCGCCGTAGGTGTTGTTGAACTTGGAGATCTTGTTCTGGTACAGCTGGAGCCTCGTGGTCGTGGCGGCCCCGAGCGCACGCATGCCGACCGAGAAAACTCGGAACGCAGGCAGCCACTCCGCGAACGTCGGCGGCCCTGGCACCTCGTAAGGCCTGTAGTCGCCGGCCGGCGTGATGTGATGCACGACCAGCTTGAGGGTGCGCGCGAACCGCTGGCCGTACGGCCGCCACACCCCGAAGTCGGGGCAGGGGCACGCGCCCGTCTGGATGCGATGCTCCAAGGCCGCCAGCTGGTCCCCAGTGACGTCCTCGTCTGGCTCGGGGTCCTCGTCGTCGTTGGCCGCCTTGAAGGCCGCCATGACCGTTCGCGTCCGTTGGGCCGACCAGGGGGCGATCTCGGAGTCGTCCGCCTGGTCGAAGATGGTCGACATCTTGACCTTCCTGATGGAGCTCGCATTGACGACCTCCGGGGGCCCAAGAGGGTTCCCCGGCGCCGCCACTCCGCCGCCGCCCCCAGAAGGGGAGCCCTCGCCTTCTTCGTCGGCAGGTAGTCCGAGGCGCAGCCGGCAGACGCGACGAAACCCCCGCGCATGCCCCAACTCGACGCCACGGAGAGGACGGGGCGGTGGGGGGTCCCCGCCTTCAGGGGTGGCATCCTGCACCCGGGCGGCCGCCACGCCGGCGATCCAAGCATGAGGAGGAATGAGGACGACCTCGCGGATCTGCGCAACCTCCCCGAGCTCGGACTGCAAAGCCGCCCACACAGTGGGCTGGAGACCGACCCAGTTCTGGATGTCCTGGAGGTTGTTCAACCCCCGGAGCTCGCTGGCGGACGGGTCAACCATGGCCCGGCCCCGCCTGCGGGCCCAAAGCAGCGCGGCGCCCGCGCTGCAGCCGCGCGCGGGGTGCGCGCACGAGATTGAGAAATCACACGGTCAATAAGAATGAGCACCAGTTTGGCCACTGAGCCAAAGGCCACGGAACAGCATGAGCACAGTGGCAGCAAAGATGCTATGCAACACAATGCGATGCAACAGCAGAGGGAACCCCCGGCCGGTGACCTCAGGAGGCCGCAAGGGGGCCCCAGAAGGTCACCGACGCAAGCAGTGGGAACCCCCGGCCGGCGACCTCAGGAGGCCGCAAAGGGGCCCCACCCTTGGCAGGGCTCCTGGTCGGGGGCCTTCGGTGACCTGGTCCGCTTGAGGGTTAAAACTGAGGCCTCAGTTTTAACCCTCGGAAGTGGCAACATCGTGCACTACAATCCTGTACGGCCCAACGCCGCCCGACACATGTAACAGTTATCATTTCTTTTACTTGGCACTAAAAGTCACTACAAGACAACCACAACACAACCACAAGACAACCAAATGACAAACACCATCCAACCACGGGACAACCATCGAGACAACGATCGGGACAACCAGAGAACAACCTCGGGACATCCATGACCAGGACGTCGGTTTTGGTTTCGGCCCGTGTCGTGCGCGACGTGCGTGCATGCGAGGCGAGGCGAAGTTGCGCGAGTTCCTGCCTTAGGAAGGCCCAGTTGATGACATGTTCCAGGGGGTTGTCCCATTACTGTCCCGCGGTTGTCTTGTGGTTGTCCTTAGCTTATTTTGTGGTTACCCCGCGATTGTCCTGTGGACTCTGTTTCGATTCGGTCTCACCCCCACCCAGCCTCCGATAGACAGAACATTGACCTAGTTCTCCCCACCCTGCAAGCACAGAGTCAATGGCAACGAGGGCGGGCCTGATCAACGTGAAGTAAGGGACAGGTACGCGGAGTAATGGACAGGGGGAGAAGATTGGGAAGTGAGCGAACACAACAATAGAGACGCGTTCGGGCAAGACCGTGTAGTGGCCATAGGTCTCCGCGTTCTTCCGTCGAGGCTCGTACTTGCGATCCTGCCAGGTTGCCCTCGCACGCGCTCTGCTTCTCTAATGTGGGCACGATGTATATCCATATCCACTGCGTCTTAGACTTTCTGGGAAGGGGCGCCAACAGGCCGCGGCGCAGAGGATGTGGATAGAAGTCTGACCTCTAGGGGCGAACATTGTTTTATCCATATCCACGGCGCCTCTGGTAACCTGGTATCGAAGGGAGGAAGCCCGGAACTCCAAGCCGCAGTGGATATGGATAAACATCTTGCCCGCATGTAATGGATACTCTCCCCGTGACACGTGCCAATTGGAGAGAAAGGTGACCTCTGGCGTTCTGGCTGGACGAACTGCTCCTAGCGACCGCTGACGCAACCACGGCATCATCATACGGAGGAGCGCAGAACGTACATGGGGAGACCAAGAGGTACCGAGACCGCTACTTCTGACGTTCGACCAACTAGGGGTGGCAGCCTAGAGCGTGCTTGAATGCATTATATATATATATATATATATATATAGAGAGATATATGTATGTATGAACGACTTCACGCTGCGGGGAAAGCAAAGCACGCCTGGCTGGCGCAGCAGGTAATTACCCAAGAAGGGCTCAAGGAGAAAACAAGCAATAGAGCCCCGAGGGGCGCAGAGCATGCGCCGGCCAGGCGGAGTGAGGGGAGGAGAGTCCGAGCCGCAGTGCTGGCGCTACTCCCCGGACCTCCCCCAGGGTGCCCTCGGACCAAATTCTCGAGGCGAATCCAGCCGTGGCGACGAGGGCCTCCCAGGAGGCCCCCAGCGTGGGAGAACGAGGGAAGGGCAGCGGTGTGGGGACCTCTTCCTCCTCTGCGACCCGACGCAGCGAAGATTGTGCAGCATCGAAACAATCACGCCCGGAGCCCTGGCCCCCATCTTTCTGCATGGCTTCCCCCCCTTGAGTTTCGAGGAGGCCAGAAGCCTAATCGCTCCAAGGTCCGCGCGGGACTTCTCGGGCTGGCGCTGCACCCCCGGGCGGCGGGGTGGGAGCGCTGCCCCCAAGAGGCGCGCTTTTTTGCACGCGGCCGCGGAACAGGTGTGGGGACGGGGGGGGTCCAGCGTAGAGCTAAGAGATCCGCGCGGGCCTCTGACCAAGCATGTCTACAGCCAAGCCTTTGGTTCAGAAAAGGATCAGTCTTGAGACATCTGGGCTCGCTTCCTAGACGTTCCCCAAACGACGCTTGGGCCAGTGCCTGTTGTTTTAAAGCTGGGAAAAAGCGAAGGTGCTCAAAAGACTGGTCCGGCTTTCCCGCAAATTGGTTGAGAAACGCTGGCCCAACTTTTCGGGGGGAAGTTTCTCAATCAGATGCCCAACTGTAATCCAATCCCGACTGTAATCCGGCGAGGCCCCAGACACCCCATGCTGATTCATGACGACAAGGCGACTTACCCCGTATCACCCCTTGGACAACCCAGCGGGGATCCTGACAACTCCACTGGACAACCCCCCTTGGACAAGACTTCCTGGGATTTGTTCCCGCACTACATCCGCCACCTTGCCGCTGGGCTCGGAGTGGGCGTGCCCTCAGGTAATTTGCCCAATGCTCTGAACTTCAGTCCTCAGTCCTGCGGAGTCAATCTGGCGCCTGGAAACAATTTGCCAAATCTCTGGTGGCTTGGCGCGGTTCCCCTGGGCTCCAGCGAATGTTCCCTGGAGGCCCCATGAGGGCCCCAAGACGGGACCAGAGGGCTCCAAGAGGCGTCCCAGACGGCCCAAGACGCGCCCCGAGACGCCCGGATCGCTCCAAGACGCCCAAAATGGCCCCAAGACGGCCCAAGAGGCCGTGAAGACGCCCCAAGAAAGCACCCAGTGGTGCTCCAAGAGAGCCCCGAGGCAAAAATCATTGATTTGTCATTGGTGTTTCATGGATTTTCGCGTTCCCGCCGTGTCGGCTTTCCGACGCTCCAAGACGGCCCAAGACGGCCCCAAGACCGCCCCAAGACGGCCTAAAAGGCCCCCGAGAAGGACCCAAGACGGCCCAAGAGGACACCAAGACGGCTCAAGAGCCGCCCAAGCCGCCCAGAGTGGGATCAGGAACGAAAAAAAATCGTTCCGCCCCAAGAGGTCTCCAGGAGGCCCCAAGAGGCGCCCAGGAGGCTCGAAGAAGCCCCCAAGAGGCCCCAAAAAGCCGAAAAGAGGCACCAAGAGGCCCCCACACGGCCACCAAGCGGCGTCCACACTGCCTCCGAGGCCCCCGAGAAGCCTCCCACGAGATCCCAATGAAAATCCAATAGGCGCCATACCCACAACCCAGGCACGGTGGCGGGATGGGCCGAAAGCCATTCGATCCGCCGCCTCCTGTTGGCTCGCCACAGGGGTGCCTGGCGTGCTAGACCCTTTCGAGTTTGGTTATTTTAGAAAACTCCCTGGGGCTTCGGCGCGTCCCGCCGGGGTCCCGGAAGATTCCCAGAATGCCCGGGTGATTCCCCCTGTCGCCTCCAAGACAGCTAAGATTGCCCAAGATGGCCTCCAAGATGTGTCCAAGGCGGCCGAGATGGCCTTCAAGACGGCCTGAGAGTGTCCAAGATACTTCCAGATACGCCCAAGAAGTCTCCAAGACGGCCCACGACTGCCCAACAGGTGTCCAAGAGGCCTCCAAGACGGCCCAAGAGGCCTCCGAGAAGTCCTCCAGGAGGGCCCGAAGATGCTGAATTCATTGATTTCCTTTTGGTTTTCGCGCGATTTTCGTGAGTGCTCTTTTTCGGCCTTCCGACGACCCAAGACGGCCCAAGAGGCCCCCAAGATCGCCCCCAGATCGCCCAAGAGGCCTCCAAGATGGCCTCAGGACTGCCCAAGAGGCCCCCCAAGACGGCCCGAAGAGGGCGCAAAGACTGTCCAAGAGGCCTCTAAGACGCCCAAGGAAGCCTCCAAGACTGCCCTGGAGCACCCCAAGAAGGCACTATGTCGGCCCAGAGAGGCCCCCAAGACGGCGTCCGACGGCGTCAGACGGGTCAGGAGCCCACCAAGACGGCCGAAGATGGCTCAAAGATGGCCTAAGAGGCCTCCAAGAGAGGCCTCGGGGAGGCCCGAAGAGGCCAACATCATGGATGTTCCTCTGGTTGTTGAAGGATGTTGGCATTTGCTTCTTTCCGGCCTTCTGATGGCCCGAGACGGCCCAAGAGCCCCACAGATCGTCCAAGAAGCCTCCGAGATAGCCACAGAACGGCCCAAGAGGCCCCCAAGACGGCCCCAAGAAGGCCCAACGACGGCCAAGATGGCATCCAAGACGCCCAAGACAGTTTCCAACACGGCCCTGTGATGGCCCAAGACGGCCCAAGAGGCCTCCACGAGAGCCCCCAGGAAATCCCGAAGAGGCCAAACTCATCGATGTCCCTTAGGTTTTTTGTTCTTCTTATTTTTAAGGATTTTGACATTTGCTTCTTTTCGGCCTCCCGACGGCCTGAGACGGCCCAAGAGCTCCCAAAGATCGCCCCACGATCGCCCAAGAGGCCACCAGGATGGCCCCAGAGCAGCCCAAGAGGCCTCCAAGACGGGCCCAAGAGCCCAAGACGGCCCAAGAGGCCTCCAAGACGCCCAAAATAGCCTTTAAGACGGCCCTGGAGCACCCCAAGAGGGCCCCAAGTCGGCCCAGAGTGGCCCCCAAGACGGTCTCCGACGGCGTCAGATGGGCTAGGAACTCACCAAGATGGCCAAAGAGGCCCCGGGAAATCACCCGAAGGCCCCCAAGAGGCCTCCAAGAGGGTGCCCAAGATGCCTCCAAGAGGCTCCCAGGAAGCTCCCAGGAGGCTCCAAGAGTGTCCCCAGAGGCTCCCGAGATGTCCCCTCCTCCTCCTCCTCCTCCTCCTCCTCCTCCTCCTCCTCCTCCTCCTCCTCCTCCTCCTCCTCCTCCTCCTCCTCCTCCTACTCCTTCTCCACCACCTCCGCCTCCTCCTCCTCCACCTCCTCCTCCGCCTCCTCCTGATCTTCCCCGTCATCCTCCCCCACGTGTTCCCCGAAGGGTTTCTACAACGGCTGGGGGAACACATGGTCCGATAGCTTGGAAGAGCTCTTGCCACAACGCTCGGCCACATGGGCGATTCTCGAAGGCAGGGGGCGGCGGTGATTCGCCGCAGGCGTCTTCGATAACCCAATCGACGAATCCACGGACGACCCCATGGACAACTCGTACTGATTAGTGGCAACAAGACGACCTACCCTCTACAACCTCTTGGACAACCAAGCGGGGATCGTGACAACCAAACTGGACAACTCCCATTATTCCAGACTATATGATATGTTGTCTTCGCTTTCCTCTCATCACAGCCGCGCAGACCTCCCCGCAGAAAGACTGCCCCAAATAGAACTCTGAGAAAGGTAATACTCTCGGGATGCCGTCTGAGAGACCAACTTCATCTCCGACCACACACGTCGCCGATCGCGGCCGACCACGCGACGCTGCCGAATCCAGGCATCAGACGCTGCTTCTTGACATACCCTCTGCCGACACCACCTCGAATCCACCCTCACTTTTCCAAAATCTGCTAAGGCCTTGCATAGAACCATGCTCCCGAACACATCGGATCACTGCGCATCTGCTGTACTGGCTGCACCTCCAATGGAAAGACGACGCCAATGCATTGCCAACTTGCGTTTCAAGCACACCGACACACTCTCATATGGCGATATGTGCTCACACGCTCTGCATATGACGCCAACTTGAAGGATTCAAAGCTCCCCCCGCACGTCCTCTGGAGCACAAACGTAGTGGCACTCGAACCTTCCAGCTTTCGGCATCTTGTCCAAGAACTGCCAGCTTGCTGGCACTCCTGGCGGCTTGTGGGCTGCCCCGATGGGCCCGAGAAGACTTCAAGCCGCCGTGGTACGAGGATGGAGGGGCGACATCCAACCCTCCCTGCCATAATCATCTGTTCATGACGGATCCTGGGGCACCTGCTGGAGTCCATCCCGGCCTGCGTCCCGAGCCTCGTCATGGCCGAGACGGAAGGGGGGGCCCCCGAAGGCCCAGAAAAAAGCGAGGAGGAGAACGAACACGAAAACGACCACGACGACCCAGACCTTCGACATCATGACTGGGCCTCGCAATCGTCGGTTGGCCCAGGTCAATGCAAGCCCTGGTCAAGCAGGCCTTGGAAGATCCTGCAGGATCCTGTCGGACCCTGCAGGATCCTGCGCCCGAGCCCAGGTCGGTGCGCCCCCGGCCCTGCAGGATCCTGTCAGATCGAGCGCTCTGACTGACCCCCGTTTGCATTGGACCCCCGTCCCTTGAGTTAAGTCGGGCGTGTCCCCCTACAGGGGAATTCTCGACGAAAAATAAATCCTCGGCCGCGGCCGCGCCCGATCAAAGAAAGGGGAGTCTTGATCAGCGCCGCCCCCCCAGGAGGCCAAAATGGGGCCTAGCAAAACCAATGATTTGGGCTTCCTCGCCGAGGCCGTTTTGGGACCCAGGCCCTCTCGCGGGGGGAGCGAAAATCACTCGGCGGTGGACAAACCTCCCTCTAGTAAACCTCCCCTCAGCGAAAACGGCCTGGGGCCGAAACCGACGGACCTGGACCCGCAAAGACGACGGCCGCGACGCCCTCGCGCGAACCGAAAACGGCCAATTCCTGAATCGACGTGCCAGGGTAGGAGGTCTATCCACCTCCGACGCTGGACAAGGAGCGAAGGGGCTCCTCTGGCCGAGGCGAGCCTCGGCCGCGGAGGGCTGCCCTGGCCCAGCGCTCCAGCGAGCGGCCCGAGACCTGGAGACCGAAAACGGCCAATTCCTTAATCGACGTGCCAGGGTAGGAGGTCTATCCACCTCCGAATCGCGGCTCTGGCGGCTGGTCGCCGCGTTCGGCCTCCGGGGGGCCCCTCCGCGGGCCGCGGCCGCCCACAGGACGCCTCGCGAGACAGAGAGCTGGCCCCGGGGAAGGGGGGCCCGGGCCTCGGGGCGCCGACCGCTGTGAAGAAGGGGGCCTGCAGGGGCCCACACACGAGTAGGCACAGGTCCCAAGAGATGCCCCCCAGATCTTCCCGCACGTTCTGGGCCCTCGGCTTCCCCCCCCCCTGCTACTGTCCCCGTTTTCCCATGTCCTTTCCGGGGCCTGCAGGGGCCTGCCGGGGCCCACACAGGACTAGGCACAGGTCCCAAGAGAGGCCCCCCATCTCTTCCCGCACGCTCTGGGCCCTCGGCTCCCCCCCCCCCCTAATATATATATATATATAATATATATATATATGTGTATATATATGTATATATATATATAATATATATATATACTGCCCCCGTCTCACCATGTCCTTTCCCGGGCTCGACGACTCCTCGCGCCTGTTCTTGCTCCCCTCCCGACCTCTCACGGCGCACGGCGCCACCGGCGCCCCGCGCCGCGCCGCGGGCCGCGGCGGCGACGACGGCGCCCCCGCGCGCGGGTGCCGCTCGCCGCGGCCGCCGCCGCGCCAGGCGGCGGCAGGGGACGGGCGGGGCGCAGGTGGCCCCTGGGCGCGGGCACCGCGCGGCGGGCGGCGCGGGAGGAGGAGCCGGCCTCCCGTGGTGGCCGACCGCGGCCGCTCGCGGCCGAGCGCACGGGGCGCGAGCGGTCGCGCCCCGAGAGAGTCGGTGTCGGCCCGCCCTGCAGAGGCCACGCGGGCTTCTCCTCCCAGCTCCTCCTCCTCCTCCTCCTCCTCCTCCTCCTCCGCTGATGTCTCAACTGGCACTCCTCCTCCTCCTCCTCCTCCTCCTCATCATCATCTTCGTCCTCCCCTCCCTCTTCCCGCCTCATCCCTCTTGGGCATCATCTCGCAGGAGGGCCGATTGAGACGTCGACGGGCCTCCATGACGAGAAGGAACGATGGCATGACGCCAGGAGGGGTAGAGGAGAACGAGGTCGACAAAGCAAACGCGCTTCTGGAGCGGAGACGGTCGGGAGGGCTTGGAGAAGAAAGCACCACTTGTGTCAGAGCGGAGGCCGGGCGGCACGTCACGCGTCCTCACGGGCCGCGGGAGCAGCACCAGAGGGATGAGGAGCAGAAGGAGGATCAGGGGAGGAGGAGGCGGAGGAGGAGGAGGAACATGGTGGAGGAGGTTACGGCAGCAAAAGCGGGATGAGGAGGACGAGGATGACGAGAAGCAGCAAGATGGGAAGGATGAACCATCTGGAGCAGGAGGATGAGGTGAGGTGAGGGGGAAAGAGCGGCAAGAAATTGGAGGAGGGAGACGGGGGAGCGGAATGATGGGGGAGAAAGGAGGGCGTAGAGGGGTATCTGTAGACGGATAATGATGAGGGTGATGATGAGGAGCAAGGGGAGGACGATGAGGAGGTGTGATGGCGAGGGGGATGGGGATGAGGAGGGAGATAGGGCGATGACGGTGACGAGGAGCAGCAGGACGACGAGCAGCAAGGGAGGCGGAGGGCGAGGAGACCGTTGAGTAGGGCGAAAGAGGACGAGAATGGAGGAAGGGAGTAACGGATACCGACAGGCTCGCCAAATCATTGGGGTAGGTGTGGCACCACCTGAAGCAGTCCTGCGATCGTCATGTGACTACCCGCGCTTGCATTCTCTGGCTCAGCAGAGAAATAAAACGCTTACGAGAATATCATGCGCTGCAGGCGGGTACTGAGCATAAGCAATGGTTACTGCGGCAACAGTTGAAGACCATGCTGCTATGCATCACAGAGAGCGGGGCGTCCTTGCTTCTGGATGATTGGATCGACTGCTCCATCCTCCCGACTGACCCATGCTGCAAGTGCAGATCTCACAAACAGAGAAATTCACTTCCAACTTCACTGTTGACGTGTTATCAGTGTCGCCCAAACCGAGCTTCGCTCAACGAGGAACGTGAGACACGATGATCTTCGCACTATCGAGCACCCCTGCATCCCTGGATAAACACACACACACACCCCTCCTTGACCGCGAAACCCGCATATCTTCGCGCCCAACGGGTAGACGTAGGGAGGAAAACGGATGAGGAGGAAGGAGGAGGAGGAGGAGGAGGAGGAGGAGGAGAGACATACCGATGAGGAAAGCAAACGTATACATATCGCGATCTGTGATCCTCCCGCGAGTAAATATCAGCACGAGATTGGAGCAAACGACGCCTCTGACATGCCAGGCTGTGATCACTCGCGCCCGTTGCTAGTCGACTGTCCCGTGTCTGCATGTCTGCCTCCCTCCATCTCGCCTGGTCCCCCTCCTCCCCCCTCCTCCCCCTCCCTCCTCCCCCTCCTCCTCCTCCTCCTCCTCCTCCTCCTCCTCCTCCTCCTCCTCCTCCTCCTCCTCCTCCCCTCCCCTCCTCCTCCCTCCTCCTCCTCCTCCTCCTCCTCCTCCTCCTCCTCCCCTCCCTCCTCCTCCTCCTCCTCCTCCCCCTCCGCCTCCGCGGCCCGCGGCGGGCACCGCCCAGGGCCCTCCCCAGCTGGGCCGCGGGCCGCAGAGAGGGAGCCTCTCGCACGCCCTGCAGGCAGGCCTTGGGTCGGGCATGTCCTCTTTCGGGTCGGGCGAAAGGGGGGATAGCACAGGGGGGGGTTGAGAATCAGCTCACGTAGCTGATTTTCCCGGCGCCTCCCGGCGCCGGAGGCGGTTGTGTATCGAGGAATGGGCCCCTCGGTGAGGCCGAAACCAGCTGCATGCAGCAAATTTCGTACCCCTCCCCCTTTCCCAATCCTCCCCTTTCGTCCGGCCCGACTCTTGCGGGCGGATTCTGGACGAACATGAGCAAGGCTCGCAACACATGCTCAAGAGTGGTGGATCGTGACAGATATATCCTCAGACTATTTTGGGACTAGTTTTGGATGCTCCTCCTGTAGAAGGACATGCCTAGCTTAAGTGTGGACGCCCGACACGGGCACGGACACGGTGGGCACAATGCCCAACGGCAAATGTTGTCCCGAACCAGCAGCGGCCGCTGCTGGGCAGGCGGCCTTCTGTCTCAAATGGACACAGGCCGCGGCGGCGCGGACAGCGAGTCCTTTTCAAAATGAGCAGGAACTGCTGTCGGTCTCTGTACCCATTCTTTCCGTACACCCTGCGAAATGCTTAAGAAATCATGGGTTAAGAAATTCATAGTCTCAGAATGTGAATAAACAATTAGAATTTCTATGGAAATCTTAGGACTAAAGTTGAAACATTAAGAATAATCGAGACTCTGGCCGAAAACGTAAGTTTTCTTAAGCATCGCCTAGGGTGTACCCATCTCGTTCGTGCCAGTTAAGACCACCCCGCCTCTTCTGGAGCGTGCCAGGCCCGCCCTGCGGCCCGGCCCGTCGGCCCTGGACGGACTTGCTCGCTGCTGTCAGCTGCGGGGTCCACCGACTCCACCTCCCCTCTGCCCTCCCCACCTGCTCTGGGTTTGGCATGTCCTCCTCCAGGTGGATCCTGGAAGACAAACCAAATATGGTCAACACAAGAGCCAAAACGCGGCAAACATCGTCAGAACATCGTCCACCGACTTTTTGGGACTCTTCTTGAATACTCCTCCTGTAGAGGGACATGCCCGACTTAACGCGTGCTCTTCCTTTCTTTCTCCCGCCCCCTCCTCCTTCCCCCCATCCTCCCTTTATCATCGCGCCTCGGTCTCCCCTCCCCTCTCTCTTCCCCCCGTGTCCCCCGTGTCTGCGAGGTCCCTCCCAACTCAGACAGAGTGTCATGAGGCTCCAGCGAGAACCCGTCCTGCACCACGGGGCGCTCCCGTGGACAACCTTTCCATCTGAATGATTTCCTGCCGATCCCGCGGGGCTCCCCCGAATCCCGTCTCCCCCGTGGCGATACCCCCCCCCTGCCACCCCCCGGAAGCGATCCGGTCAGCGCAAACACGGGTCGGCGAGGGCCATGTGGCGAACCCCAGCAGGCCCCTTGGTGGCTCCCAGACCCGGGTCAGCTTCTTCCTCCTCCTCCTCCTCCTCCTTCTCCTCCATCCTCCCTCCTCCTCCTCCTCCTCCTCCTCCTCCTCCTCCTCCTCCTCCTCCTCCTCCTCTCCTCCTCCTCTCCTCCTCCCTCCTCCTCCTCCTCCTCCTCCTCCTCCTCTCCTCCTCCCCCCTCCTTGTCCTCCTCCTCCTCCTGCTCACCCTCCCTTCCCCTCCCCCTCCCCCTCCTCCTCCTCCCTGTTCTTCCCCTCCTCCTCCTCCTCCCTCCTCCTCCTCCTCCAGTGGAGGGCTGAGAAAGGAGGAGTCGGCCCTTCCTGGCGCCCAAAAACCCAGGTCAGCCATGCAGGGGAGTGGCGAACCTCCGTTACCGCGGACCACTGTGGCGTGAGCCCCAAAGCTTCGGTGGCAACTCGTGGGAGCCTTCCATGCCATCTTGGTGGCTCACTGCGAGTCGATGCTGCCCGACGCTAATCGACGCGGATCGACGCTACGCAAATCGACGCGCATCGACGCTAGGTCCGTGCTGTCTCGTCGACTACCACACGCTGGCGCGCGCGAGTGCACTCCAGACACGGCATCATACGAGGACACGCAGGACCCCCACGACTGGCCTCCGAACCCGGCCATCCCCCCCCCCGGCCCCTCCGGCTGGTAGAACAGGGGCTCCCGCAGGTTCTCCGGCTTCTCCTTGAACGCCAGGCTGACCAGCAGGTTTGCGCACACCCTGGCCCGGCCGCGCCCCCGCACGGCGCGGCCTCCCGCGGGGCCGCGCCGCGAGTCCGACGAGGGCGCGGCGGCCGGGGGAGCCGCCTCGGGAGCTGCTGCAGTCGGACTCGCAAGGGGAGGACACGGAGGAGTGGGAGGAGGGAGAGGAAAAGAAGGGCGAAGGCGTGGGGAGAAGGAGACATGGGAAGACGAGAGAGCGAGAGGGGGGGGAGGAGGACGAGGAGGAGGAGGAGGAGGAGGAGGACGATGGCTAGCAAGAAGAAGACAATGAGAGAGGATGGGAAGGGACCAGGAACGCGAATGGGGAGGGGCGAGGAGGTTTTCGGAAAAGGAAAGGGAAAGGGAAAATGATAATAATGATATGAGAATCAGGAGGAATAGAAGGGAACGGGGGTACAACACTAGATCTGGTTATGAATGGAGGAGACCGCACCATGCGCCCTCGCTCGCCTCACCCTAATTTCTGGCTCAAACAAACCCTCGCCCACGCTTGCTCCTTCTGCTGCTCCTATGCCATTATCTTCTCTCCCATCTTGGTGTGACGCGGTTGGTCGTTCGCCACCCTCGTCATGCTCCACGTTTCGGTGGCTTGGGCGGCCCAAGCCTGCTCCTCGTCTTGCATCAGTGCGGGGGTGCGGCGCAGCCAGAATGGAAAACCACAAACAGAGGATCCTTCGAAGACAGCCACCCCTCCTTGTTCGGCACTCGCGCCCCGCCCAACTCCCAAGCGTATTGGCAGCACTACTGGCTGCGCCTTCGCATGAACGCGAATTTACACACACACGCACACACACACACGCACGCAAACACACACATTCAAGTTCACACGTTCACACACACACACCCACGCAACACACACAGACGGACGCACAGACACTGACACTGAAACTGGCACAGGCGCAAGCATAGACATAAACACAAGCACATACACATTGACGCAGACATAATCACACACACACGCACGCACATGCACACGTACACGTTTTTTGTTGCGTCGTGTCCCCGCGCGTGGCGACGGGGCGTGGAAAACCGTGTATATGCGCACGGGCACACGCAGTCGCATACGTATACGCACACGCGCACGCACACGCACACACAAACCCACATGCACACATAGACACAGGCACACACACGCACACACGCGCGCATACACGCGCGAACACACGTACACACGCGTGCACACACACGCACACACACACTCACACACGCACACACACACACACAAACGCACACACACACGCACACTCAAGGACACACACACACACACGCACACAAACGCACACGCACACGCACACGAACACGCGCACGCACGCGCACGCGGACCCGCGCACGCCCGCACACGCACGCGCCCGAACCCGCACCCGCACCCGCACCCGCACCCGCACCCGCACCCGCACCCACTCACACACACGCACACACACACACACGCACACACACACACATAGAGGGCAGAAAGGCCACCCCCACAATAATTACCCCGGCAAGGGAAACCGTTTAGTAAACGAGCCCAGGGAATGAATCGAACATGGCGGGGCTGCTTAGTAAACGCCCAGGGCCGTTTAGTAAACGCCAATTGTCGGGTTCGGGTGGCTTTGCCTCCCTTGAAAGCACACAAGCACACACACACACACGCACGCACGCACGCACACACACACACACACACACACCCGCGCACACACCACACACAAACACACACACACACACGCACGCACGCACGCACGCACGCACGCACGCACGTACGCACACAAGCGCGCACACAACACACACACACACACACACACACACACACGCACATGCACACACAGCACACAACACACACACACACACACGCACGCACGCACGCACGCACACACACACACACATACACACACATCATATACACACACGCACTTGTTGCGTCGGCGGCGAGGCAAAGGAAGTCTGCGCTATCGGAGGGGCCTAAGCGGGGATGCCGTTAGGGCAGATTGTGCCACCATGCAAGACGGGGAGCACGAAGAGGACGCGGCCGAAAGAAAGGGCGGAGGTAACGAGCCGCTCAAGGGGACGGACTGGTTACGCCACGAACGTGTGGCGCGGCCAGCCCCGCCAGCGGGCCCGCGGCGGCTGCTGCGCCAGATGTCCAGCGGCGGCGGGCCCAGTGTGGGGGATGGGGCATCCCAAGGGCAAGGGTGCGGAACGAACAGTACCATAGCCTGATGGCGGCCCATCCACAGGGCAGGAACGGACGTGGTGTCAGCCGGAGCTGGGGCGTCAGCGGCGGGCAGCAAGACCAAGCCAGGGGTTGGCGCGGGTGGCGGCTGCGGGCAGCCTGGGGCGGCGGCTGCGAGCAGCTGGCGGCGCCATGGTGGCGTGAGAGGGAGGGAGAGCGAACGGTGGAAAATACGAACAGGGAGGAAAAATACACACACACACACTCACACAACACAAAACGCAGAACACACAACACGCAACACAGAACACAGAACACGGTACACAGAACACAGAACACAGAACACAGAACTCAGAACACACACACGCACACTCACAAACACACGCACACACACACTCACACACGCACACACACACACACACACGCGCACACACACACACACCCACACACCCACACACACCCACACACACACACACACCCGCACACACACCAACACACACACACTCACACACACCAACACACAAACACACACACATACACACTAACTTTCCGGTCACACGCAGCTGGCTGGGAAGGCACGCGAGCGCTCGACGTCGCACGCCCGGCGCAGCGACCGAGCGCCGGGCCGGTGAAGTCCCCAAGGACGCCCTGGGAGCCAGAAAGCGAATAGGGCACACGAAGCAGGAGGACACCATCTTAAGGCAGGCCAAGCACCGACTGGCCTTACAGCGTGCCAGCACACACGATCAAACACACACACACACACCCACACACGTTTCCTCCAGCGGTGAGGTGGCGGCACAATCGCGAGTACTAACACACACGCACATTCGCACACGCACCTGCGCTCGAGTGCACAAGAAGGCGACCCCGTTCACGTGCGGGCCGTCCAATCCGACTGGCCCTCTGGGCCGATGTGGTTTACCGTCTTAATTATTCCAACTTCCTTCTTCCCTCCTCTGCGGGGAGAGGCTTACATCCCCCCCCTTACTCCCTCTCTCCGGGTCTGTGCGGGGGTCGCAACGCGTCCAAGATGGCGCAAGATGACTCCAAAATGGCCCCACAGGGAGCTCCACTTACGGCCCCAGTAAGTGTGTGCGAATGCAGGCCCACGCCCGATTCGGCATACCCCTCCCGCGGACGTGCCCCCCCATACTTGTCGGCGCGCACAAGGGGGTAGGTGGAGGGCGGAAGGCTTCTTAGAAGGAGGCTGCTTCTCCTTTTTTTGCGTGCAGTTTCCTTCAAGGCTTGACGTGGTGGCCAGGCTCGGTACCGCACCGAACAAGAGACAAACTACAGCGAGGGGGCGTGCGGCGAGGTGCGACCGCTTCCGCGGCCGCCAGGTGCTCGGCCGCGGCACCGCCGAAGACCCACGGGGGGGAAGCGAGAGTGCAGGGCTGCCATCCCGCGGGAAGTATGATCGTAGCGCTGGCACTTCTGCTCATGCGCCCGAAAAGATCACGCGTCGGGGCCAGGTCGCGGGAGTTCTCCGGCAGCGCTGGCACTCCCCGCGCCTGCCGAAGGGGCCCTCGGTCAACAGCATGCCGAAGACAAACAACAAGATGCACGTGCTGCAACGCCAGCGGGCGGGGCACGTGCGGCCAGGGAGGGCAGGCGTACGCTCTTCAAAAGGAAAACCACATATGCACACGAACACACACATTAGATGTTGGTGAACATATACCATCATCACCACCACCACCAAATCACCATTCGAACCGTCGCCACCCAATGTGCTGTCCTGGCACGGTGGCGGGACTTGCCGCGGGCAATTGAATGGAATAGAATAGAGAGCTCGCGGAGCTCTGTCCGTGCATACCACCTGACGGCGCCACGTCCTGTTCAGCAATGGACACATCAGCGCGCGTAGCACAGTGGGAGAAGGAGGAAGGATAGGTAGGAGACGGGAGGGGGGAGAGGAGCACGGGGAAGGGGAGCCCCCTTGGTTCTGGCCTCGCCTGGCCCCCGCGCGCGCGCGGGGCAGGCTGTTGCGGCCAGGCGAGGGAGGGAGGGGGGGAGGGAGGAGGAGTGAGGAGGGAGGCGGTCTTCGAGGCGGCGGAGCGGCACTGCGCGGGCGTTGCCTGGCCGGGCGTCTGCGGGCGGTTTTCGAGGCTTCCCCCCCCGCACATTCCGGAGAGGGCCTGGGTCACCGTGGACCAGAAAGAGGAGAATGGCAGAACAGAGCGATGGAAGACGGAGGGTGCACTAACAAAAATCGCCCAATCCCTACTGTAGGGCCGATCTAACACTGATTCTGGGCCTGTGCAAAAATGTGCAGAAATAACAAGCACGGCTCGATGGCGAAATCGCTGCCATGCGTGCTGGGGCGTGAGCAGAAAGGCGTGGGCTCGGGGATGGACGGAGAGGAATCCTGAGGAGGCGGAGGAGGAGGAGGAGGAGGGAGAGGGACCGGAGGACGACGAGAAGGCTGAAATTGGCGAATCCTGTCAGCGCCATCTTGGGTCAGATTGAGGCCTATGGAGGCTACTTGGACCGAAGACGCCGCCAACCTGTTTACACAAAAACCATGGCGTGGGGGCTCGTGCTCCCGATGTCATGCTGCGGGCGCCCGCGAAGGAAGATGACACCATGTAGCCTGCCCTGTGCTCTCAGAGTTAGCATTATCAGTGTGGCCACGAGCGGGGTGACCGTATAACCAGCCTCGAACGTATCCCTATCCCTAAGATGGGCGAGCAAAAAGCGAGGACAATCTTAGGGATACATCGGCCCAATGAAAGTTCCTGGAATTTTCATCACGACGCTGGCCGGCGAAAGTCGACGGAAGTAAACGACGGGGGAAGGCCGCCGGAAGGCTTGCCAATGTCAGCGGAAGTAAACGACGCCCCTTCCGAACCCCCTACCTCCGTAGAAGCCTAGCAATGTTGTCTTCCTCCGTGGGCCGGGCGGGATCCCGCCTGGCTTATTCCGCTTTAATACTAGCCGGCCGCTCTGCGGTTGATCGGGAGTTTCTGTATATAGAAGAAGGTGCGTGCGCCTGTTGGCGAGGGTGAGGATGAGGTTCCTCCTCCTCCTCCTCCTCCTCCTCCTCCTCCTCCTCCTCCTCCTCCATCCTTTCTCTTGCCTCCGTCTGTCCTCCTCCACCCCGCAGCTCCATCATCTTCTCCTCCTCCTCCTCCTCCTCCTCCTCCTCCTCCTCCTCCTCCTCCTCCTCCTCCTCATTCCTCCTCTGGGCACCTCCCCCGGGGCGCGGATCCACCGGATCTGTCCGGATCTGTCCGGAAACGGTGCCGGAGGCCGCTCTGGGCTCCTCTGGGCACCTCCCCCGGGGCCGGTTTTGTGAGGATGTCTCAAGCGAGGGCGCCGGTTTGGGATTCGTCGGCGGATCCAGCGGATCTGTCCGGAAACGGTGCCGGAGGCCGCTCTGGGCTCCTCTGGGCACCTCCCCCGGGGCCGGTTTTGTGAGGATGTCTCAAGCGAGGGCGCCGGTTTGGGATTCGTCGGCGGATCCACCGGATCTGTCCGGAAACGGTGCCGGAGGCCGCTCTGGGCTCCTCTGGGCACCTCCCCCGGGGCCGGTTTTGTGAGGATGTCTCAAGCGAGGGCGCCGGTTTGGGATTCGTCACCGGATCCACCGGATCCCGGATCTGTCCGGAAACGGTGCCGGAGGCCGCTCTGGGCTCCTCTGGGCACCTCCCCCGGGGCCGGTTTTGTGAGGATGTCTCAAGCGAGGGCGCCGGTTTGGGATTCGTCACCGGATCCACCGGATCTGTCCGGAAACGGTGCCGGAGGCCGCTCTGGGCCCCTCTGGGCACCTCCCCCGGGGCCGGTTTTGTGAGGATGTCTCAAGCGAGGGCGCCGGTTTGGGATTCGTCACCGGATCCAGCGGATCCAGCGGATCCACCGGATCTGTCCGGAAACGGTGCCGGAGGCCGCTCTGGGCTCCTCTGGGCACCTCCCCCGGGGCCGGTTTTGTGAGGATGTCTCAAGCGAGGGCGCCGGTTTGGGATTCGTCGGATCCACCGGATCCACCGGATCTGTCCGGAAACGGTGCCGGAGGCCGCTCTGGGCTCCTCTGGGCACCTCCCCCGGGGCCGGTTTTGTGAGGATGTCTCAAGCGAGGGCGCCGGTTTGGGCTTCGTCACCGGATCCAGCGGATCCAGCGGATCCAGCGGATCTGTCCGGAAACGGTGCCGGAGGCCGCTCTGGGCTCCTCTGGGCACCTCCCCCCGATGTCTCAAAGGGCGCCGGATTGTCAGCGGAGGCCGCGGATCTGGGAAACGGTCGCTCTGGGCACCTCCCCCGGGGCCGGTTTTGTGAGGATGTCTCAAGCGAGGGCGCCGGTTTGGGATTCGTCGGCGGATCCGGATCCAGCGGATCTGTCCGGAAACGGTGCCGGAGGCCGCTCTGGGCTCCTCTGGGCACCTCCCCCGGGGCCGGTTTTGTGAGGATGTCTCAAGCGAGGGCGCCGGTTTGGGATTCGTCGGCGGATCCACCGGATCTGTCCGGAAACGGTGCCGGAGGCCGCTCTGGGCTCCTCTGGGCACCTCCCCGGGGCCGGTTTTGTGAGGATGTCTCAAGCGAGGGCGCCGGTTTGGGATTCGTCACCGGATCCGGATCCCGGATCTGTCCGGAAACGGTGCCGGAGGCCGCTCTGGGCTCCTCTGGGCACCTCCCCCGGGGCCGGTTTTGTGAGGATGTCTCAAGCGAGGGCGCCGGTTTGGGATTTGTCGGCGGATCCACCGGATCCAGCGGATCTGTCCGGAAACGGTGCCGGAGACCGCTCTGGGCTCCTCTGGGCACCTCCCCCGGGGCTGGTTTTGTGAGGATGTCTCAAGCGAGGGCGCCGGTTTGGGATTCGTCGGCGGATCCACCGGATCCAGCGGATCTGTCCGGGTGCCGGAGGCCGCTCTGGGCTCCTCTGGGCACCTCCCCCGGGGCCGGTTTTGCGAGGATGTCTCAAGCGAGGGGCCGCTCTGGGCTCCTCTGGGCACCTCCCCCGGGGCCGGTTTGTGAGGATGTCTCAAGCGAGGGCGCCGGTTGGGATTCGTCCGGCGGATCCACCGGATCTGTCCGGAAACGGTGCCGGAGGCCGCTCTGGGCTCCTCTGGGCACCTCCCCCGGGGCCGGTTTTGTGAGGATGTCTCAAGCGAGGGCGCCGGTTTGGGATTCGTCGGCGGATCCAGCGGATCTGTCCGGAAACGGTGCCGGAGGCCGCTCTGGGCTCCTCTGGGCACCTCCCCCGGGGCCGGTTTTGTGAGGATGTCTCAAGCGAGGGCGCCGGTTTGGGATTCGTCACCGGATCCACCGGATCTGTCCGGAAACGGTGCCGGAGGCCGCTCTGGGCTCCTCTGGGCACCTCCCCCGGGGCCGGTTTTGTGAGGATGTCTCAAGCGAGGGCGCCGGTTTGGGATTCGTCCACCGGATCCAGCGGATCTGTCCGGAAACGGTGCCGGAGGCCGCTCTGGGCTCCTCTGGGCACCTCCCCCGGGGCCGGTTTTGTGAGGATGTCTCAAGCGAGGGCGCCGGTTTGGGATTCGTCGGCGGATCCACCGGATCCACCGGATCTGTCCGGAAACGGTGCCGGAGGCCGCTCTGGGCTCCTCTGGGCACCTCCCCCGGGGCCGGTTTTGTGAGGATGTCTCAAGCGAGGGCGCCGGTTTGGGATTCGTTCCAGCGGATCTGTGAAACGGTGCCGGAGGCCGCTCTGGGCTCCTCTGGGCACCTCCCCCGGGGCCGGTTTTGTGAGGATGTCTCAAGCGAGGGCGCCGGTTTGGGATTCGTCGGCGGATCCACCGGATCCACCGGACTTGTCCGGAAACGGTGCCGGAGGCCGCTCTGGGCTCCTCTGGGCACCTCCCCCGGGGCTGGTTTTGTGAGGATCTCTCAAGCGAGGGCGCCGGTTTGGGATTCGTCGGCGGATCCACCGGATCTGCTCGGAAACGGTGCCGGAGGCCGCTCTGAGCCCCTGTGCTCCCCGCGCCGGGGGTGAGGATGACGGTATTCCACAGAAACTCCCTCAAATTATAAGTTTAGTTCAGGACGATCAAAATCCCACCCATTAAAAATGGGGTAGACCAAAATCCCGGGCCGTTCACGGATCCCACCATGCTGGGATCGGCTCGAAGTAAGATGGGGCTCATAAATTGCAATATTATTGCCGTGTTGGGGTCGTCTTGAGGTCATCTTGAGATCCTATCCCGGTCATGTTTGGAACACGCAACCATCGCGTGGTCATTATGAGGCCACCCTGGGTGCGCTTGGATCCATCTTGTTGCCATCGGGCCATCTCGGCGTCACGCGTTGCTCATGTGTTTCGTCATCTGCGAGTCGGCCTGAGACGGTCCAGAATCCATGGCGGGATCGCGTTGGGGTGGCATCATCCTGGGTCCTCTGGACGTTATCGTCCGTGGCCGGAGGCATTCCTGGAAGCATGTTGTGGCCATGGGACGTCTTGGGATCGCGTGCGTGCGAACGCTGAGCACGCGCGCGCGACTTTTCATCTTGCCGACGGGTTTACATACATATTATTCCTCCTGCGAGTTTCCAAGGAAACTGTTGTTGGAGCCAAGTCGGCCCTCAGAAACTGAGTGAATCCTTAAGATCGGCACCGAGGGGAGGTGATGTCAAACATAGGGATAGGGATATGTTTCAAACTGGTAACCGTATACGCTCGGCCTGGAACGTGCTGTACAGCAGCTCAGTCTCTGACAACCTCAAGGCAAACCCTGCACACACTGCTCAAGCATGGGCCGATGACTCTTGTATACGTCTGTTGCCCACCAAGTCTCTGCAGTGATGCTGGCTCCAATGCGACGTCCACAATTGAAATGAAGGATGCCAACGAGAGAGTGATTGCACCCGTCGTAAAATGCGCGGCACATTTCCATGTTCCACCCATAATCAATCGGGTGAAGACCCTGCGGTCTTGCATTAGAGTCTGTCTCGTTGCTAAGCATCATGAGAGCAGCATGCATGAGGTCTTGGTCTGCCCATCTTAAAACCATGTATCCATTGTCGAATTGCGACCCACCAATCCGGAGCGAATCAAAAACGTTCCCCATTGCCTCTGCCCATCCACGTTCACGCATTTTTTGGAAGTCCTGCAACACAACGCCAGTATTAATTCTGTCTCCAAAATTCAAGAACGGCCGCCAAGTTGCCCCAACCAATTCTTTAGAGTCGAAACGGCCAATTTGCAGATACAGATCTACCAGCGACCGTGCTGCAAAGACATCTGTGTCGATGAGAACGCATCTGTTCACAGTGGCAAAGATATCATATGCAAAAGACTTCGAGACTGCAGCGACCCCGTAGCCATGCGACAGTTTAACTTTCATAATATCAAGTTCCTTCAGTATGGCAACCTCGTCTAATATGTAAAGCTCGTATGCATGAAAACCATTTCTTTCTAACACATCGGCTAACAAAGCCTGGGAGCCCGACTCCGTAACACAATGAAAAGCATAATCTGAGTCGAGAAGCATTTCAAAGAGTAAGCGCTGCTTCTGCAAAGAGCCGAGAAACATTTCAAATTCTGCGACAGCCCCTGCACCTATGACTGCGGAGCATAGGTGCGCGCTATCAGGCTGAGCCAGCTTGCTTCCAACGGCTACCGGTGCCGATTGTAAGGAATTCAACGTGATACTACGAATAGCATTGAATGATCGATTGTACTCCCCCGTTGGAGTCAGCTTCGAGTGCTGGTTCCCCCCCTCCTGCATGATGGGCACAAACAGCACCAGACACAGGGCAACGGGCACCACCGCGAGAAAACGCCTCACGGGCTTGTCGAGAAGCCCCTGCGCCGTTTCAGCCGGCGCCACATCACGCAGTGCTTCAGTGTCTTTTTCCGCGAGATGGAAATCGTCTGAGTCATGCTCCTCAGACGGTGACCCGGATTGGCAAATACATCGGTCACGCCCAGACCAATACAATGGGCCAACATGATCTAGCCCCATGGGCTTGAGCCAGAATTGCTACGGATAGAAGGAGGCTGCTTCTTGGAAGGCGCAGGCCTTACATCTGTAGACACGGTCCGCGCCTTCTAAGAAGCATAGGATGCTACTAAGAAGCCTTCCCCCCCTCCCCGTACCCCCCTCTGCGCGAGGCCGACATACCGCCCTTCTGAACGCCTTCTTCGAAGCTCCTTGTCCGCGCTGCCCCGCGGCGTGCAGTGCACGGCTGGGCCCTTTGTTAGGCCAATTCTAACAGATGGTCTCCAAGACTGCCACCAGGCCCCAAAAAAGGCCCCAATGGGAGAGCCCAGCTGCCTCCAACATGCCCCCAAGAGGACCCCAAGATGGCCCAAAAAAGCTCTCAAATGGCTCCCATCTCGGACGATCCGCGAAGGCACGCATGGTTGACTCCTGGGCCTGCTCAGGCTGACTCCGATCTTCGGGTTGACGGCTGCCCCCTGTCTTTTTGCTTCTATTGCTTGCCCCTACACCTTCCAGATCAAGGCAACTCGCCTGGGCATCGTTTCTGGACAGGTTAGTGAGGATACTTTTTAGTCAGCGGCCGCGGGCGAGCGCGCTGGCGGCGAGTCCAATCAAAGCGGGGCACGCAGCGACGAATTAACCTAAGGCGACGGAGGGAGGCCACACCTACAGCGGCAAACCGAGCCCTCACGCAGCAGCCCAGCGGCGGACCGGCGGGTGGGGGGGCAGCTGAAACTGAAACGTTAGTGAGGATACGCGAAGCGTTAAGAATTGAGTACGCGGAGCAGGCTTGGAACCGTAGCGCGACTCTCCTTTAGACTCACTTGGCAAATCGTCCATGTCAGTACAGCGCCCGAGAATGCTCTCCCGGAGTGCCAATGGCCGTGCGCAATTTGTTCAACGAGGTCACAAACCATCCCCTTCTCCATCCTGGTTGCCCCTCCCTCCGTTGATCGTTCTGGGAGAAGTCCAATTTGAAGTTCATGTTCTCTGGCTGCAGGAAGGGAAAGAATGACGCGTAGCCCAGGCGCTCCTGCAGCTTCACTATCTGCGCGCGGGGGCGCTTTTGTGCTAGATCAGCGCTGGTGCATGCACTGCGCAGAATGACTGACGGGAGGCAGACTTCCTGCAGGGTTGGAACGTGCCCGTTGCTTCACCACAAGGTCTTTCACCCACAAGATAGAAGCGCTCTGAGGGGGGTGGAGGAGGAGGAAGAGGAGCAGGAGGAGGAGGAGGAGCAGGAGGAGGAGGAGACGGAGACCCCCTCGCCCACGAAGGAGAACAACGAGGAGGGGAGGGGGGGGGAGGGGGCAGGGGCACCAGGTGTCGGTAACGCTGGAGCGGGGTGGCGCACGTCATGGCGGGGGTGCGCTGCGATCGCCACAGCTTGCGCGACAGCCCCCCGCATGTGCGGGGAGAGAATCCCCCCCCCCCCCCCTACGCAGGGCCCTTACCGTCAACGCGTGTCGGGGGCGTCCAAGAGGGGGGGGACGCAAATCATGGCCAGCGGCACGTGCGCGGCCCAATGGGGGGACCAGGGACGTAATGAAACAAGCAGGGGCGCCATGAAATCTGGGGGGACATCATGGCCCTGGCCAAGATAATTCTCGGCCCCCCCCCAGTCATCGCCCCCCATCTTGGCCGCACTCGACAATGGGGGCAGGGTTGGCCCGGGTGGCGACCGCTACGCTGAGGGCATTGGTTACGGAACACTTGGCTAAGATATCCCGGGTCTGGAGGCCGGTGGACCACCGATATCGCCGCCGCCCTCATCGGATAAGGAACCCTCTAGGGTCTGAAGCCTCGTGGGCACATGCCTTCACAAGCGCCCCCACCCCAGACATCCGGCTGCTCCAATTTTCCCGATGCGTGGGCCCCGGAGGTCGGGGACGGGGAGGGCCCCCACAATTTCCTCCGCCTCCTCCTCCTCCTCCTCCTCCTCCTCCTGCTCCTCCGCCTCTTCCTCCTCCTCCTCCTGCTCCTGCTCCTCCCCCTCTCCTCCTCCTCCTCCTCGCTGCGAAGACATCGCGACGGAAGCAATCTTCGGCCTCCCGATTTGTCCGAGGCGTGGGCCCCGGAGGTCTGGGCCTCCTCCCCGGGGGCAGGTGCTCCGTCCCGGGAGCCCCTCCTCGACGCCCCCGAGGCCCAGCGGGGGGCCCCTAGGAGGCCGAGGCCGGCCAAACACCCCCGCCCGCTCCCATCTGCTTCGGAGCGTTAGATCTCCAGGGCCTCGCGCGCCTCCCTCCTCCCCCCTCCCTCCTCCCTCCTCTCCCTCTCCTCACCCTCCCCTCCCCCCTCCCCCCTCCCCCCTCCCCCCACCCACTGCGCACGCGCGCGCGGAGCCACAAGTCCGCTACGACACGCGTCCGCGGGTAGAGAAAATCAGCGCCATGGTAAGGGATGGGAGGGGGGGTAGGACGTCAGATATGACGCGAGCGCACCTAGCTTGCCCCTCCCCCCTCCCCCCTCCCCCGCCTCTCCCCTCCTCCCTCCCCACAAGAGGACCAAACACACAGTTTCCAGGGAGACTCCCGCGAGACCGGCCCCTGAGGTCCGACGTGGTGAGACAACGGCAACATCCCGACACAAGAAAAGGAACTATGCACATACACCGATTCTGGCCAGGCCCATCCTGAGTCCAGGATCGGTGCATACGCCCTCTTACCTTGGCCAGGAAGGTATATGCACCGATCCTGGGTCAAGGATGGAAGTCGTCAGGATCGGTGCATGTGCATAGTTATCTTTGCCCGATCTCTGCGCCACGTTTCGAATCGCATCGATCTGCGAGCGTCCCTGGGCCCGACACGGAGCGAAAACGCCCAGCGCGAAGAAATGGCAGCGCCGGGATCTCTGGTGCGGTGCTGGTACGGGGCTACCCCGGCGAGCCGCCCGGTCCGCGAGGCCGACCTCTCTAGGAGGGAGGAGGAGGAGGAAGAGGAGGAGGAGGAAGAGGAGGAGGAGGAGGAGGAGGATTAAGAGGAGGAGGAGGAAAGGGGCAGTCCAGCTCACCTCAGGCCCGATAGTCTGCGTGATAGATAATGACGGAGTGGTCACTGAGCCCCGTTTCAAACACAAGAGAATGGTTTCGATGTGGTGCGGCTTTTGGAACGCTGTTGGGGCTTAGTGGGCCCTGGAAACGACAAGGCCGATTTTGTTACCGGTTCCGTTTTGCTGTTTTTGCCAGTTCGGACGCCGTTGTTTTACTGGTTCCCATGCCGTCGTTTAACGGGTTCCGGCTCCGGCTTTAATCCTGGAACCGTTTTTGTGCCGTTTCCGGTCGGCGTTTTTTGCCGTTTCCATTTTCAAGACACTTTTTCGGAGACGGTGAAGAAACGGCTCTGCCGTTTCCGGGGCCCAATAAGTCTTGGGGACAGGCCCATCATTGTCCATAAACTTCGTTCACACCTGTCGCTGGAAGACGCAATCACCCTCGGATTTGACCCAGTCCACTGGCAGGCGAACCGCCTTGCGGATAAGGCGGCGGAGGAGGGGGCAAAGCTTGCTCAGATCCCCTTCCATGCCAGGCGTCAGGTTGCAGAGGCAGATCACTCGTGCGGCAAAATTTTAGATTCCCTTCTGGAGATATCGATGGCCCTAGTCCAGCAAGCCCCGACCTTGCATGGAGCCGCGTCCAAGGGCAAGCGTCAGGAAGGGGCCAGAGTCTCCCTTGCCCTTTTGCGCCAGGAAACATGAGCTCGTCTGGCCCAGCTCGTCGAACAGTCGCCGCACACTGTGGAGCAGCAGGCCCGAGGTTTTTTGCGTTGCACTGTTTGTTTTCAGCCCGACGTAGGTAAGAGAGAGACTTTCCTCCGATCGGCCTGCCCAGGCCGCCCTGCTAATTACGATTCATCCGTCCCATAAGCTGGAAGCTTAAAAGGGGCGTCTACTGGTGCCAGCTCTGTGGAGGCGCAGGTGTTCCCTCGAGAGGCAAGCTGCTGAAGTTGGGGAGACCGTGTACCTGGCCTCACTGATCATGTGCGGAAGGTGGGGTCGGCCTTGTTGGCAGGGAAGCTTTCTCCTGACCTTAAGGCTTGGACTGAATGATCAGAAGACTGGGTCCGCCTCTTGTCGCGGCCTTAGGTTCCAGATAGCCGACGCTGTGAACAAATCGCGACGTTTGGGGTCTGGGTCGTCCTCGTCCCCAACGGCAAGATTACCCTCCTTCTTATCATGATCCTGTTCCCTCCCGCCTCTCACTGTTGTAATATCTTCTTCCTTCTCCATGGCCCCTGATCCGTCGTCCCCCTCCGTCCTCCCTCCTCGACACCTCCTCCTGCTTGGAGAAACGGCCATCCTGTTCCCCCCCCCACTCACTCTCGTAATATCTTCTTCCTCCTCCATGACCCCTTACTCGTCGTCCCTCCTTCCACTCCATTCTCCCTCCTCCAAGCGCCTCCTCCTGCTTGGAGAAACGACAACTAAATATCTTGGCGTTGCACACGTCGACGATCCGGAAGAAGAAGACCACAAAACACTCCGCGCGCTCCTGTTGAAATAGGGAGGTCAAGCTTCGGGCTCCGTGGTTGCAGCAGCGGGCTGGGGCAGCAACCAAGCCAGACAAGGACTGGGCGCACGAGTAAAACATGGGCGGGAGCAGACGGAAGGAGATGAAGAGGAGGAGAAGCACAACAGGAACCCCGCTCACGACGAGAGACATCGATTCGAAGAGTTAAAGACGTAGCGAGGCTCGAGCTCAATGGAAGACCCCGAGCGCCTCCCCTCAGGTCCCACCCTGGCAGGAGACACTGAGGAGAGGGGCCGATGAGACCCAATAGGCATCGTGGCGTGTGTCACGCCAAGCGCCGCCAATATTGCTAAACCCACTGCTTTGCTGTTAATTCAGCAAGTGATGAAAACGACCTGCTGGCATTAAGTGCTAAGTTACCCAAAGGGCAGAAAAAACTGGCACACCTTTGCTGAACACAAACGTAAATTGCTTACGTTGTTATTAAGATATCATTGCACATATTTCGTGCTGTATGATTCCAACATGTGCGCGCGCATGCGAGCTTCGTTTTATTCCTGATGCAGGGGATACTCGCACAATAATCGCTCGAGATCAACGAGTGTCCCCGCATGGTACTCTTTGACAAGGATGATGGGATGCTGGGGGACGATGCTTGCCTGGTCCGGGATGATACGATCCCATGTCCAAACTGAGCGATGGGGCATAACCAACTGTAAGGTGTAATGTCCCAAGGCGGCCCGATAAGTCGAGGGGTCGAGGCGGCCACGAGGCGGCCACGTCGACGGATCCATCTAATTAGTCAACGGCGCAGGTAAGAACCCCGAAGTGCAAGCGCGTTGTGGGGAATGCAGATACGCACACTTGTGACAGGTATGTGCGCACGCACGGTCAAGGCATTTTTCTTAGCGTGTCGCCGCGGCGGCCCCAGCGACACGCTATGCCCTGCAAACGCACAGCCGTGTCGCTCCGCTCCGCCGGGGGGGGAGGAGGCTCTGGAAAGCTCGGGACGTTGATGCCGTAGGGCCGGGAAGCGGATAGCGCGTCGCGCCGAAGCGTGGCTGGCCAGAATCGGCGGAGCGACAAGCTAGCCAACAGTTCCCGACTGGATGCACGCACGTGTACGAGCTCGACGCAACGGCCTGGGCGGGCCACCGGGCTCCCACATCCCCCAACCCCCGGCCCCGGGCGATGCCGCGGGCCACCCGCGTCAGGTCGCGCTGGCCCGTCAGCTGACAAGAAGGAAACATGAATGCATCGACTCGACGACGACGACGACGACGACGACGACGACGACGACACGACGACGATGACGACGACGAGGACGTCGAGGACGTCGACGACGTCGACACGACGGTGACGGCGACGGCGACTGTGGCGGCGACGGCGATGACGGCGACGATTGCTCGCGTGCGCCCAGAGATCTCCCACGATCGAGTCAGCTCGTAGCTCTACAGTCAAAACGCATGGAATAAGTATCAGACCGTTGAGTTCCACTGTCCAGGCGTCCTGACTTTCACTAGCCATCGAGCAGTTCACATCGCGAGATTCACTGCCCAACGCAATCTAGAATCTAGAACAGTTCAGTCGATGTCTCCCACGCCAACTCTCACTGAATAACCCCTGGTCTGCGTACGTACTTGCAGATGCGAAAGAGCTGGCGAAACAGGACAAGGACGTCATCACAAGTGTAGTAATACTTAGAAGGACAATGAATTCAAACCGCCTCTGGCAAGGAGGAACGAATTTGGAACATGCTGGCTTACAAAGAACAATGCTGCTCCAACCATGAAGCCGGATTCCACATGCAGAAAAGAACTGGCATTCAGACTGGATTGTCCTCCTCGGACTTGAAGTAACCCAGCATCTTGCGCATGTGCATGGATGTCAGGCAAATGTTGTGAGATATGCGGCGCACGACCTGCAGTAATGGAAAACGTGGAATGGGGTGCGACGCGCGATGATGAGCGACAACGCTCGTAAACATAACCAGTGGGCATGCGCCCGTAAGGATTGCGCCTGGCTTGTAGTGATACACCCATGAGCGAAAGATGTTCGGTCTGCTCCTCATTCATCCTATTATCCTGCTCCTGCCAGTGCACTTCCTCCCCTCTAGCGCCTCACGCTCCTCACTTGTCTTTCCACTGCTACCAGTGGCGGGCTGAGGGCGTTCTGGGTGAACGACGTGATCGGGAATATGATGCTTGTGACACCGGGCGCGCGCAGAAACAAACTTATGAAATCACGAACCCAGCATTCCCACATTTCAAATATGCATACACGTCGGTTGGAAGAAGTAGGTAAAAACGTGTAGTAGGAAGGCGGATCAAGTGGATCGGGTCCAGGCCCTCCCAGAGAGTAACAGAACACAGCAAAAGCATGTCGATTCTTCAAGTAGGAA